TGCCACTGGGGGGGGGTGATGCAGGATTAGTGTATTATCCTTGAAGATAAAACATTAAAAACTGACTGAGAAAGAAAAGGATATTTTGGGAAAAAAAAATCATTGAAAAAAAAAATATAATGTGGAGAGACCGAAATACAGCTCTCGACATGGCCAGGTGGTTAGAGGGCGCTTGACTCGCAATCTGAGGGTCGCGGGTTCGAATTCCCGCCCCACAAGCATGCTCGCCTTTTCACCCGTGGGGGCGTTATAATGTGCCGGTCAATCCCACTATTCGTTGATAAAAGAGTAGCCCAAGAGTTGGCGGTGGGTGGTGATGACTAGCTACCTTCCCTCTAGTCTTTCACTGCTAAATTAGGGATGGGTAGCGCAGATAACCCTCGTGTAGCTTTGCGAGAACTTCCGAACAAACCAAACTTTGCGCTAAAAACACCCTAACAACGAACCAGTCTCACGTAATGGTAGAGTTAGAAATTGCGACCTCTGCTGGAGGATATATATTCAAAAAGTATTTTAATGTCCACTTACCTATTTTGAAAAAATGGATATTCTTTCTGACCCTATAACAATTCAAACACAACACATTTTAACAAGAAGGGGTGTGAGTTGTTAGCGAGGCGGACTGGGTTCGAGTGGCAGAGATGTGGGTGCGTTATGAGAGGGACATTCGATCCCCATACTCGATAACGTGCAGCTGCTGCGGGCGGCATATACTGTTGACTGATTACTTTGGGTGGCATATACTGTTGACTGATTGATTTCCCTCTGGTCTGCAGTTCAACATTAGGGACGGGTATTTCAGTACCATAGGGATATCTGACCTGGCTGTTGTGTACATAATGGGTCGTTCAGCTGCGTCAAGAAACGTAACTTGTAAAAACAGAAACTAAAATGAAAGGAAAATACAGTTCTTTGGCAAATTCTAAACAACATGTTGTTAGAAACTATTACTGTATCCGTATAATGAGTATAGTGGTTATTATCTGAAAAACTATTATTATTTGCATGACTTACTATATTGTAGTACATAGCAAATAATTTAATTAGTTTTTTGTTTTTGTTTACAGAGTGTCCGAAAAGTCTGGAAGCATAAGTGATTTACAGGTTTTTCATAATTTCAGATATGCGACCGATGATGGCGCTGTCAAAACGTGAGGAGGTCGAGTTGATCCTGCCGTGTGGCAGGAAGGTTGCTGTTGAATTTAATGCGCGCCATCTAGAGAGAGAAAAAAAAAACATCACATACAGTGCTGTTGATAAGCTGTTAGCTAAATTTGAGGAGACCGACAGTGTCGGACCATTGACAATGACACGAATATGTTTCACGGTGTTCAAAGAGAATGTAAATACCGTCTCCAGACTTGTTTTCAATGACAAGGACTCGTGTGGAATAGATTATGTAAAATAAATTGAAGTGTCCATAGTTCCAGACTTTCAGAACATCCTGTATGACTTTATGTGTACAGTACAGTACTTGTTACTGTGTAAAATTGTTGAATAACATTTTAAAGCTTTTTTTTTTACCAGATAATTTTTATTCATCTACGACCTCCCTCTACCAAAGGTTTGGACGTTCCCACGTGCCTGTAATTTATCCATTCAAGTTTATTTGTTTGTAAAAGTCCACGGAAAATTTCAGCACTGTCCCTCACCTGTATGTTGACCATCGAGAGCCAACTCGCTAATATGCGGTCTGTCGGCTAAGCACAAAGCTACAAAATGGGCTATCTGTGCTCTGCCCACCACGGGTATCGAAACCCGGTTTCTAGTGAAATATTGAATCTACAAACGATGTTGATGAGTATTCGTAGTTTCGTTTTTTACCATTTGAATCTCGACAGACCAAGTTTGTAAATTCTTACAAAATTGTAATTCTTCAAACTATTTTTTATCGTTTTGTTCAGAGAAAGAAATTGGAGCATTGTAGCGATCATATCTCGGTTCTTGGTCCCTAGAAAGATAATCAAAGGTTTCTAGCACCGTTTCGCGGACCCCCCCCCCCAAATTTATTAATGTCTTTGTTGAAAGAAAAAGAAAAGATCTTGTGTCCATGAAAAGCTATATTCCAAATTTAAATGGTTTAATTCATAGGAATTTAAATTAACAATTTTATCATATTACATTGTTGTAATTATTTGTATGAAATTTCGGACATGACTCGTCCCCTGGAGTATCCCCTCGGACCCGTGAGTGCCTCCCCACCAATATTTCCTGGGCTACTCTTGCTTAGTCTAAAAGTGGAATTAGACTGCACCCTTATAACACACCTACGACCCCAGAATGAAATGACGGGGCAAGAACCATGGATCCTAGGTTTCACAGTCCTGGAGCACTATTCATTATATCATATTCGACGTTTATTTTTGTTTTGACAAGCGAAATAGAATAAATATACGAGACCTGCAAGTTGGATTTATAAGTTCTTGAAATTTGTGCCAAGTAGAAATATTTGTGAGAACTTTGAATATTCTTTATATTAGTGCTTTAGCTATCTTGTTCTACCTGAAAGAAGATCTCAGGCTACGAATTGAAGTTTAAAAGTTAAATGAGTTAATTAAGAATTTCATGCAAGGTGTTTTTTTAGTCGTTACTGGATTTTTGTTTTGAATTTCGCGCAAAGCTACACGCAGACTATCTGCGTTAGCCGTCCCTAACTGAGTGATAAAGTGCTAACTCTTGGGCTACTTTATAAACAATGACTAGTGGCGTTGAAAGGCTGAAAGAGCAAGCATGTTCGGTGACGAGGATTGCCTTTACCACCAGGCCAATTATTAAGAAAAGACTATAGCAAAATATGACGTATTTTAACATCACAACATAATATCTATTTTTTCTTTTCTCAAAAAAATCAGAAACATCTCACCAGTCTTACAAATTAATCTGAAGAAAACTTTACTGTTTGAGATTGAACGGGGAGTCAAACGCACGACTCTGCTACCAAGCTTTAACACAGGGGGGCTCGAATACTGAATGTCTCAGTTCGAATAATAGTGAAAAGAGTCTGTGCGTATTAATTTCCAACTGTATTTTTTTTGGAGTCTTTGTGACACCTCCTCTGTCTGTCCGTCTTTTTCTTTTCGGTCTTATACTTTATCCACATTTGTCTGTCAGAATGTGTCTTTCCCTTTCTACTGAATCTTTTTTTGTGTGTGTGTTTCTATAATTACTTGGGCCCAGCATGGCCTGGTGGATAAGGCGCTCGACTCGCAATCTGAGGGTCGCGGGTTCGAATCCCAGTGCCACCAAACATGCTCGTCCTTTACAAGAGGGAAGGCTGTCAAGTGGGTTGCATCCTTGACATAAGAAATAGTTTTAGAAACAGAGCAAGATATGCCTCCGATCGACGGTCCGCAAGGACTATGGGGGGAAAAAAGAAGAAGAAAAATTTCTTGGTTTATTGTTTTTAATCTGTGATTGTTTTTCTATGTTTTTGTTTCATTGAATCTGTGTCTGTGTGCGTCTTTCTTTACCGTTCGTTGCTTGATTGAGTTTTTAGTGTATGTGTCTTTTTCTCTATGTTTCTATTTGAGTCTTTGCCTTTGTGCGTGTCTCGTCTTGTCTGTGTTTGAGTTTTCCTTGTACGTGTGTGTGTGTCTATTTTACATTTGATTCTTACTTGTTTGTTCGTTATTAATCACAAAGCTACAAAATGGGCTATCTTCGTTCTGCCCACCGCGGATATCGAAACACGATTTTTAGCGTTATGAGCCCACAGTGAAACATCCATTTGTCACTATGCTAGTCCTTCTCTATCTGATTGAGGATCCTTGTCTTTTTTGCGTGTCTTTTTAAAACTGTATGTTTCACTTAGTCACATTTAAACGTGTATCTATGTTTCTCTTTGACTAAGTCTCTCTTTTCCGCTATGCTGGTCACCATCCGTCTATGATTTATTGAGTCATGTTTGTCTCTATGCTAGTCCCTCTCTATCTGATTGAGGATCCTTGTCTTTTTAAATCTGTATGTTTCACTTAGTCACATTTAAACGTGTATCTATGTTTCTCTTTGACTAAGTCTCTCTTTTCCGCTATGCTGGTCTATGATTTATTGAGTCATGTTTGTACGTGTGTATACGTTTCGGTTCGACCGAACCTCTGTGCGTGTCTCTGTACTTAAGTGAGTCACTCGTCATCCATGTTAACATGGGATCACACAACGAGTAAAACGTTACTTTTATCAAACGCCAATCAAATCTTACATTATCTCACGTAAGCTTTGCTTTATGTGGTTAAGTTTTTGTTACGCCAATATTACGCGCAACAGTGATATATTTATTACAAAAACTCTTAGCTAGTGTGTGTGGGTATGAGTGTGTGGGTGTAACATCACGTTTCAAATCTAGCTGCTCTACAACTATACATTCTAAGGTCGTAATGACGACAACCAGATGTTTAAAGCAAAAAAAGAACGGAAATTAAGGAACTGACTCGTCTGCGACATTTTAATTGAAAGGGGGCATCTTCTTATTTCGAACAATGATGATTCAATATTCTGGAAGATTGACAAACTGACAGAGAGTCAAGTAATTTTACCTTACTCCCTCTGTCAGTACTTCGGAAAACTAGCCTTCATTAGGATATTGTTATTGTATTTCATTGTTTTGTTACTTAGATTATATTGTTAAAGAAATATTCAGAAAACTTTCTAGTGGCTTCCCCCGAAAATTGCCATGCCAGGAAGCTCAGATATTTTCTTTTATTAAAATGTCACGTGGATAACCGAAACTCTGGTCGTTTTTCGCTAGCTCTAGTGTATCAGCTCAAAATTAGGGGCCCCACTCTTGACAGTCACTCTTATAACGCATACACAGCCCCATTCTACGGAGTAGTCCCCATTAAGCTGGATCTTGGCTTTGTCCTCCTCAAGCTGTAACTTGGATTTGTCCCCATCAAGCTGGATTTTGGCTTTGTCCTTATCGAGTTGGATCTTGGATTTGTCCCCATTAAGCTGGATCTTGGCTTTGTCCTCCTCGAGCTGTAACTTGGATTTGTCCCCATCAAGCTGGATCTTGGCTTTGTCCTTTTCGAGCTGTAACTTGGATTTGTCCCCATCAAGCTGGATCTTGGCTTTGTCCTTTCGAGCTGTAACTTGGATTTGTCCCCATCAAGCTGGATCTTGGCTTTGTCCTCCTCAAGCTGTAACTTGGATTTGTCCCCATCAGCTGGATCTTGGCTTTGTCCTCCTCGAGCTGTAACTTGGATTTGTCCCCATCAAGCTGGATCTTGGCTTTGTCCTTTTCGAGCTGTAACTTGGATTTGTCCCCATCAAGCTGGATCTTGGCTTTTCCCCACATCAAATTGCATATTTTAAACGTTATTCTAGGGTAACGCATGTTTTGAAACCAAAATTGTTTAACGAAGCTAGCAACATTATATCGGCGTTAACATTAAGATAAATCCTTAGAGGCCATTCAAGAACATGTTTAAACATCATACTCGTCTTTTATTACTGTTTAACTTTCCTGTACTTCACATCACACTAACTTAATAACAAGTATAAACCACCATTTTATTCTAGGGTTAACTTATTGTCGCCAAACCAATTTCTTGAGAATGAATCCTGTTACTGGGGCAGTACCAAAAGTTATTCGAGAATCTAATTTATATACATAAAGAAGGTTTTTACTGTTTAGTTCGTAAATTGACCACCCACTATTTTCCTGCTCTACGTTGAAGTCACGCAGACAATGTAATTATTAGACGACTTCCCAGAATTTTTGAAAAACAAATATTTTAGTGATTAAACTCAACTGCCAACCATCTTCTTGGAAACCAATCTTTTTATACTTGCAGGGCTGTCCGTTTAACATGTGTTTTTTTTTGCATTTTTTAGCTGGCTGATTATCGTACTTTATCAAGCATAATAGATATACTTATATACAAGGTCTAAAATTTTACCATATTATTTAAAAGAATTTAATGTCAAAAGCGACCTCTCACATGCCTCACCGAGTCGGCCACGGCGATCGTCTGCAAAATTTTGATTGCTTGTGCATAAATGGTAAATTTTCGCTACGATACAATACTGGAAAAAACCAGACATCGTAATAATACAGTCCCAAATGATATAATATATCCAGTATTATTACGTCATTTGGTAACTTGGCAACTACACACTGAAAGAAATGACAACTGAGACATTCTTGCCCTATTTTTGTTGGTTTTTGTTTTTGCGCCGTTCGTCAAACGTAATATCACCGTCAAGGGCGTCAGCTAAAAAAACTGTAAGGGGGCGGTTGGGGGGTGGGGGAGAAGAGATGTGAGACTAAACGAAATAAGTAAAGAGGGGAGTAATTAATTTTTTTTATTAATTATTTTTAAACATAGTTTTGTTTTTGCTGCATATACAATGCTTCTGTGAAGAAAAGCTCACGCTTAAAAATTTTAATAAAACAATTCATAGAATACGAATAAAAGCTTATTATCTGGCTT